GGCCTGGCAGCACATGCAGGTGGGGTTCACGGACTTGGGGGGGATGAGGTCCAGGTCCTCGTCGTCGGGGATCTCATCTAACCGGTAGCCGTCCTTCAGCAGCTGGATGTTCAAATCTTGATTGATCTGCTGTAGACAAAGGGGAGGGAGGCTCGGGGCGATCCGGAGGCGGGCCGCATCCCCAGGCCATCCGCACCCAGCCTGTCCCATTCCAGGTCTCTCCGGAAACCCCAGGCTTCACCCCTACTCAGGCCCCACCTCAGTTCTGGCCTCTCTTGCTTACACGCACATCCTTGCGAGGCCCCGCCCCACTACAGACCTCACCCCATTCTACCGGCAACTTCCCACCTCAGGTCCTGCCTCTGCTTGGCCTTGTCCCTATTTCAGGCCCGCCCCTATAAAGTGTCCCCTGTATTTCATACCCCATTCTATTTAAGAGCCCTGCTCCAACCCCGGGCCCGAGCCCCGCCCCTAACCATCAAGGCCCCGCCCCACATGCGCTCCGACAGCTTTGCCTGTCGCTGCTCTGCGGTGAGATTTGGGCGCGTTGGCCCAGCCCTTCTCCTCGTGGAGGTGGGCCTGCGCAGGTGTGGTGTCTAGGGCAGAAAGGGATGGGGCCTCACCTCAGCAGAGGAGTAGCCAGAGGAGGAATATCTGGACATGTCAAAGTCATCATCGCTGCGGTGGAGGAAAGAAGACAGAGAAGTGACTCTGGGAAACTAAATAGAAAGCTCCCTGCACACGCTGCCATCAGTCAATACCCCATTCCTCCCCCTTCCTTCCTAATAAACAGCAAGGGCTAAATAAAAACTATGCTTGCTGTGCAAATGCAGTTTTAAGACAGGTTCCCTCGCCCCCCCTCTAAATAAATTGTCACCCTTAACCTCCTTCTAAATAGAGCTGCCACTCCCTTCCCCTCATCCCTCTACCTTTTTATTAGGCCCGAATCATCCTGGCGTGTTGGATTTTCCCAAAGTCCAGGTGCAGCCAGGTGTGTTCCCAGCAGCAGGGCTCCTCCCTTAGAGGGGGCAGAGCACTAAGCATCGCATCAGAGCCCTTTCTAGGGGCAGCCATAGGATCCGTTGTCCCAGGACAGCAGCACTGTGCCAGTCCCCTCTTCCTCTCTCTGCTCTCCCCCACCTCCATGTAAAAAATTCCATTCCCTGGGGGAGTCACCCTTGGAGAGCACCTGGCTGTCTGAGGAACACCCCAATTCTGACAATATAGCAGGTGTGGGCTGTACAGCCCACTTTATGTTCACATGGTTCCTGTGGCTTGCCCAGCTCTCCCAATATCCCCATACACACCTGTCCGTGTCAAGGGCTACCAGTGGCTTCTCGTCTGGGCTCTGGTCAAGCGAGGAGTAGCCTTTATTGGGGACGACCAGCCTGGGTGAAGAATTTGGGGGATTGGATTGGCAACTGGAGCACACAAGCCTGGCAAGGAACTGGGTGGGGCCCTGACATCCCCCACCTCCCACCCCTTGGATCCTGTTGAGACTCTCCTCTCACAGAGGAGCTGGGCCTGAGGAAGGAGGAAAGGGGAGAGGCTCAGGACCAGCAGAGATAGCTGCTGACTGGCAGGGTCCAGGCAGGGCAGGCAGTCTCTACCTTGTCCGGGCCATGACATTGTTCTTCTTGGGTTGCTGGTTGACGGGGCTACCCATGCTGCCATTCTTCAGGGAGCCCTTCCGGGCCAGCTCCCGCTGCTTCTCTGCAGGGGAACATGGGAAGGAAGCTGTGTCCTGCCCCCAGGGCAACCCTACCTTACTGCTCAGGCAGCTTGGGCTGGGCCTTCATTGTGAAACCCCTTGCTTTCCTAGGAACTGAGGCAGGGATCCCAACTCCAGGCCCTCCTGCTTGGTGGAGACAGTAATTGGCCCTGCACAACCCAAGGCAGATGGTGAGGGGCAACAGGAGGAGGCTGACGCCTGTCTATCAGGAGCTACGTGTACTCCCATGTGGGGCAGTCAGTCTGTGCTTGATGCCAGAGAAAGGCTGGAGAGGGAGAGATGGCGCAGAAGGATGGAGCAGTCAGGACTTCCTGCAGGTGACGACTTGAGCTGGAGAGAGGCAGGCATTCCAGGAAGGAGGGGTAGTGTATATAAAAATGTTTTTAGAGGGGCGAGCTCCGTGGCCTAGTTGTTGAATTCAGTGTACTCCACTTTGGGAGCCCAGGTTCGGTTCCTGGGCACGGACCTACACCACTTGTTGGCAGCCATGCTGTGGCGGTGACCTATATACAAAATAGAGGAAGATTGGCATAGATGTTAGCTCAGGGCGAATCTTCCTCAAGCACAAAGAGGAAGTTTGGTGACAGATGTTAGTTCAGGGTGAATTTTCCTCAGCAAAAAAAGGAAAAAAACGTGTTAAGAAATGAGTATAATAAGTGTGGATCTGGATGGGATGGAGGGGTGAAGATGGAGTCAAGTTGGAAAAGTACGATACATTTATTTGGTCGTTCATTTATTCAACAAACATCTGTGTCACCAGTCATGTCTCAGGTCCTGTGCTAAGGGGCTGGGGGCTCCCCCTGATTACAAACCTAGAGCATGAAGGCTTTGAGTTTGGGATTAATGCAGAAGGAAAAGGAGCCACTGAAGGTTGTGGAGTGGGAGAGGCAGAATGGGGCTGGCAGTGTAAAGGGCAGGAGGCTGGGGGAGCCCTTCTGGCTGTACTTGTGACTCTTCTGCCAGCTTCTGAGTTCTCTAAGGCTCCAGAGCCTCCCAGATTCATGGCACTGGCCACCAGGTAGCCCACTGCCTCATGTGTGGCACTGTTTCCAGTAGCCATAGCTGTCTGGATCCTGGAGGGAGCCCATCCACCCTTTCCTACTCATCTCTAGTAAAGCCCAGAGGTAGGAAAAGGACCGTTGGTGGAGAGGGATGCTACGGGAAAGCTCTCATAAAATAATCACGAGCTCCAGACAGGAAGGGCAGGGTGGGCATTTCCAGCTACTGTGACCCAGGCCTCCATCTCCCAGTCTCTGCCTCTCTTTCTTTGCCACTGCTCATCTGACTCCAGTTTTTTCCCAGCCCCTTTCCAGCAGGCAGCAGCTGCCATTACCACTCCAAGCCTCTAGGGGGTGCAATTTGCCTTAAAGTTCCTGGTGGTGATTTTCTTGACAGCAACAGGGACAAGGTTGGGAATTTTCATGAGGAGCTTTGGTGGTAAAGTAATGGGGACGAAAAAAGTGTTGCTTTAAAAGCATATTGGAATTGTTTAAAATAGTGAAAAATGCAAACAATAAACTGGAAAAGCCAAACTACAAACTACTATGCAACCATTTAAAAGAACGAAGTTGTTCCCTCTATACTCATATTGGAAGGGGTTCCAAGACATTAAGTGGAAAATGAAAACAAAAACAAAAAAGTTCCAGAGAATGTGCACAGTGTGATACCACTTATGTTAAAACACAAAATAAGGGCCGGCCCCGTGGCCGAGTGGTTAACTTTGCGCGCTCAGCTGCGGAGCCCCAGGGTTTCGCCGGTTCGGATCCTAGGGCAGACAGGGCACCGCTCATCAGGCCACGTTGAGGCGGCGTCCCACATACCACAACTAGAAGGACCTGCAACTAAGATATACAACTATGTACCAGGGGGATTTGGGGAGATAAAGCAAAACAAACAAACAAACAAAAAAAAAACCCCACAAAATAAAACTAGAAAAACCAAAAAAGCTTGGAATGATTATTTCTGGGGAGGAGAACATGTGGGGGAGAGTAAAGGAGAAGTTATACTTGCTAAAATACTTGTATTGCTAAATTAAACAAAAACAACCAAACAAAACTGAGTGCAGTTTGAGTCTGGTGTCTTGGGAAGATGAACAAATTCCACTGAGAGAGCTGCTCTCTTGTTTAGAAAAATAGCCTGAGGGGCTCCCTGGATGTGGTCTGGAAGGAGAGGAGCAAGGCAAAAAAAAAAAAAAAAAAAAAAAAAAGCTGAGTAAAAGAACAGGTCTCTGAAAAGGAGTCCTGGCAGCTGCAGAGGGAGAAGGTTTCAGAATAGATGGGAAGGGCTCTTAGGACGAGGAGGCGTCCAGTATTTGGTGGACAGCTGGAGCCTGAGAGAAAGATGGACAGGAGGGTGGCAGGGAAGACAGAGGAGTATGAAGGCTAATGGTGACTTGTATTTAATTGTAAACTCTTTCCTGGATGCACTGTGTTGTAACTTCTCGTCATGAAACCAAATTTTTACTAGAAGTCTGTTATGGTCAGCAGCCTTGGGTGAGTGAAACTTTGGCCCCTGAAGGGAAGGGCAGTGTTCATGGGGTGAGGTGAGAACAGCGGCAGGAGCGAGGGGCAATGGTCGGGAGCCAGGGGCTTTAAAGGAGCAAACACGGACGTTGGAGTGGACATGAGATAAACTCCCAAGAAGAGGTGAGCCCGCAAAGGGGGCAGGTATTTGGGGTTACTAAGAAACAAAGGGAAAGCTCCCTCAAACGAGCCAACCACGCCCTGAGACCTCCAGACAGGCTGAGGTAGGAATGGGGAGAGGGGCTCAGCTTCTGGGCTTTGATCCTCATTCCTTTCTACTCTCAGACATAGCAACTGACACCCACCTCGAAGACAGCTTCCTCTTGGTCTGGTCCAGTGTTTGATGGCACTTCCAGCCCTCTCTCTGGGGTTCCATCCTGCTATCTCTGCAGCTACCCCTGGCATCTCTAGAGCCTTCTTGGCCTCAGAGATGCCTCCTAGAGTTCTGGGCCCTGCAGAGAACTGTTACTTCCCTCCTTGCCTTGCAGGAGATAAGGTGCTTGGCAGTGCCAATGGCTTGGTGGCTTGAGTCGTGGAATTACCTAGCCTGAGTTGGTTTATTTGTGGCACCTCATTGCAGACCCAGCCCAGAGCACCTTGTCCACTCCCCACATCTCCCTCACCCCCCAGACACACTCACCCAGCTTCACTTGGAGCGGGGATGGTTTGTAATTCATGGCAACTGACTCACCCTCCCGGGCGCCACAGTCTCCGTCTGAGATGGAGGCGGCGGCTGGGTCCTGCGAGGAGAAAGCACAGACGGAGCTGTTAGGAAGTGAACATGGCAGGCTGCTCTCAGCCCTGAAGCTGGCCATGTCACCTGTCCTCTGGGCCTCTGGGGGTATTCGCCCCTGGCAGCAGGCAGGAGATTCAGAGAGGGAGGGGCAGACCCACCCACCCTGGGAAGAAGACCCTGAATTGGGTAGAAGAGCCAAGGATTGTGGCCCCACTTACACCCACCTGGGTGTCTGTCTTCAAAGTCTTGTGCAACCCAGCCTTCCCCCAAAAGCCCACTTCAATTCCTTAAACCCACAGGACGTCCTTCTCCAACTTCCCATACTAGTTGCCCTGCTCCTAAGGGCCCTTCCTGTGTACTTGTTTGGAAGGGTCTTTCTGGGTTCCTGTGCATTTAAGTCTGGATTACAGTCAGAGTTGGTGCTCCCAAGACAGGCCTTCTCCCTGTTTCCCCAGCACTAGACAGGTCCTGTCACAGGATCCAGAGAACTGACTAGCTAAGCCAGGCCAGACTTCAAGGCTGCAGCCACTGGACAAAAAGAGTTCTCATGAGGCCTTCTCCATTTTACAGATGAGACCTAGGGAGTGTCTCCTGGGAGAACCTGAAAGGGTGGCTGGGTATGCAAACAATGACACATCAGCTGGTGGCCGGTTGGTCCTGTGCTGCTCACTAATCTAGCCTCATTATTCACTCCAAAACACCCAGACCTCTGCTACAAGATCCAGGGCCCTGGCCCACCCTGCCCTAGTCAGTTGGAAGGCACTGGAGTCATTCATATTCTCCCTGAGAAACTGATGACCAGCCATTGATATGGGTGCTGCCATCCTAGGCATCTGCCTAGGACCACAGAGTGGTAAGTGCAAGGTCTGAGGATTGCAGAGAGGATCAAGGCTGTGCCCGTTCTGTCTCTGGGGATGCAGAGAGCAGACAGATAGGCAGGTAGAACGCTACAGGACTCGCCCCACAGTGTCAGGTCCAGGGATCTGAGTGGCTGCTGGTGACCCAGCAAGGGAAGAATATATAACCATTACGGTGGCTTCTGTCCCTTTTAGAATGAGGCAGTGGGAATGAAAACACGCTTGTCACTAAGGGCAAAGGGAAAAGTCTGCAACGTTTGGGAAGGAAATCCTGGCTGTATCTGTGTTCCTTCAGGCCACCCAGAGTGCAAGGGCCTGGGTGGGCCGTGTTGCCATAGTGGTTTGAGAGTTCCTGAGGGTAGAGCCTGGGTCTCTGTCCTCTGCTCTGATTGCCACACCTGAGCTGAGGTTGCCGCAAGGCTGTCCAGTCCTCATCCTCTGCCTCCCTGGTACAGCTCCTCCTTGGGAGACTCCTTCCTGACAGTGCCTGTCCCCTGCAGCCTTGGAGAAGCAGGCCTCCTGTGGCCTCACATGTCTCTCTGCAGCCAAAACAGCCTCACAGGTGCTACCTGCAGGGGACATGGAGACTTGACAGCTGGGCTCTGGCTTTCGCCTTAGGCCACGGGGAGGAGGGATCACTCCCAAAGCAGCCTGTGGGACCTACCAGGGAAGCATTAGCACATTTCCAATTTCCTTAGTCACATTACTTTTTCTGCAGTATTTGTCATGTCACACATACCACACCCATTTGGAAATGGCTTCCTCCCCTGGCTTTCAGGACATTGTGCTCCTTGGGTCATCTTGCCTCTTTGGCCATCATTTCTGTCTCCTCCCACAGCCCTTTGTCTCCTTTGCAAAGTCCTGCCCTCAGCCCTCCTCTCTCTCCTTGGGGAACCCTGATGTCTCCTACAGTTTGGATTAACATGTTTACACTGGTGACTTCTAAATCTATGGTCTTCCAATCAAGCATCTCCTCCATAACCCTCAACCTCATCCATCCCATGAGAGTTCAAGCCTCACTGTCGTTTCCCTGGGGCTGACTTTAAAAACATGGGCCCTCAGGCATTTGGGGCTAACTTCCCTCCCTGGTGCAGATGAGTTCATCAGTTTCCTCTCTCAGGGCTGGAAGTACTGGGTAGCAACGGTAACACTGGAGGGAGACTGTGCAGGAAGGACGGGGCCTGGGTGGGGGCTGGGAAGCTGTGGAGCAACTCGGGTCACAGGGACACACATGGTCTTCGAGGCCACTGGGCAGGTCCTGGTGGCATTTGATCCCTGAGTGAAACTGCCAGTCACTTTGGGTCATTGAGCCAGGGTGCAAAGCCCTAGACTGAGAAGCCCCTTGCAAAGCCCACCATTCAGCATCTCGGGTCACTGTCCGTGATAGAAGGCCATCTGGTGGCAAGAACAAAGGTCTCTGGCACTGTGCCTGCAAACTCAAGCCTTTACTGTAGGCTTCCTGTATGTCTTCCCTGAGAAATGCAGCCAGTGCACCATAAGCATCACATGGAAATGTAATCAGGGAGATTAAATGTGAAATATTCATGAATATAAGTATCAGAGAGGAATCCAGGCAGAAGGAAGCGTCTGGCTCCAAGAAATCAGGGAGAATTTAAAATGCTCCCCAAGGACATTTGACAGGAGTTAGCTAGATCCGGGAACTAGAGTGGGGATTAGCAAGATTATTAATAAACACTCAGCAGAGACAGACATTGAAATGCATCTCTAATAGCAACCCATGTTTCTGCAAACCTTCAAACAAATTCTCCGCAGACTGCAGAAATGATTAATAGCCCAGTCTCACTGTTTCTGGGACAGGATACATAGGCTAATGGCCAGTGCAAACTCAATACAACCAGAGGAAGGCAAAAGTGCCAGAAGAACCCTGAGAGTTAGTCTGGTCCAGTGATTTTCATTAAACTGTGTTCCCTGAACCCCGTGCCTTGGGCGGGGCTGAGTGTGAGAGGGGAGCAACAGGAGGAGGGTCTGGCTGCCCTTCAACCAGAGTAGATCCACTTTTATTTCATTTATATATCAGCTTTCCGAAAGATTTTGGTTGGAGAAAGGGTTCTGTTGCCTTAAAAAAGGTTAAATCCATTGATTTAATCCCATCTGGCCTTTAAAAAATATTTTATTATGGAAATTATCAAACTTACACAAAAGTAGAGAAAGCAAAATAGTGAGATCCTCAGTACCTATCACCAGCTTCAACAAATATCAACTTGTCAACCCATTCTGTTTATAAATCTAGGCTCCACCATTTACTAGCTGCCTGATCTGGGCTTCAGTTTCCTCATCTGTACAATGGGACTAATACTAATACCCATGTCAAGGGTTTTTGCCAGGCAAAATGAGGTAATATATGTGAACACTTAGAATAGTACGTACTGGGCACTATATCTATGCTAGCTCTAAACTTGTTATTAATACAGGTTCTGTGAGGCCCACACAGTCATTGGCAGTGTGCCCTGGGAGGGACTGGCCCACAGCTGCAGCCCTGGCACCACATAGGCTGGGGTCTGGCTTATGTGGGATGTATCTGTGGAAAAGGTGCTTCCTCCACAGGGCGAGGAGAGGCCTGGCTTATGTGGGTTTTATCTGTGGAAAAGGTGCTCCCTCCACAGGGTGAGGAGGGGCCTGACCAGTTGGCATTCTGCCTCCTCTCCCTCTTCTCACTCCACTCTGCTACAATTCCTTCACTTATTGAACAATGGTAGGCCTGGGGCTCATAAAGATAAACAGGAAATAGGCCCATCCTTAATGAGCCCCCAAGAACTATCCATAAAGGTAAGAAGGGCCATAGAACAGTACAGGGAAAGGGACAAAGGGAGGATGGTCAGAGAAAACTGCACAGAGGAAGACACTTGAAAAGATCTCAGAACATTGGTTTACCAGTTAGCTTAAGAGGAAGGAGAAAAGACATTCAGGGAACATCTGCAAAGGCTCAGAAGCATGAAACTAGCATTGCATATTCAAGGAACAGTTAGTATTTTGCTATAGTTGAAACCTAGAAGATATGATGAAAAGTGGCAGGAAATAAAGTTGTGAAGTTGGGAGGGCTCAGATCATGGTGAAGGATGGGTCTTGATTTTGATTTTGTTCTTTACTCAGAACATGATGGGGAGCCAATGAAGCCTTAAGCAGGAGAGTAACATGATCAGATTTGAGATGGAGAAGGACCCTTGGACAGCCATGTAGAATATGGATGGCAGGTGAATGAGTCTGGAGGTAAGGACAAGGAAACTACTACAACAGTGCCAGCAAGAGATGACAGGGACCTGAACTAAGCAGGAGCAGAAGATGAAAGGACAGAAAGGAGGATATAAAAGAGGAGGAGTGACAGACTTTAGAGACAAAATATAAGGGTCCAGACAGTCCTGACTTTCTGTCTGGAGTAATTGGGAAAGAGGTACTAATTATTCAGACAGACAGTGCAGGAGCTACAGCTACATTGCCAGGGAAAACCAGATGAGTTCCATTTGGGATATGTTGAGTTTTGAAGTGTCTTTTGGACACCCAGATGATATCATTAGTCAGTAGGGTTTGAGGTTTGGGACCTCAGGAAAGAGGTGTGGGCTGATGGTTATGGAAGCCACAGAGGGGAATAAGCCCTTTCAGAGAGAAAGAGCAGAGGAAAAAGATAAGAAGCAAGGATGGAGCCCTGGGGAAAATTAAACCTTAGGGAATGAGTGGAAGAAGGAAACTGAGTAGCAGCAGAAAGGTGAGATGTAGGAAAAGATCTAGGAAGCCATTCAAGTAGAGTTTCAAGGTGGAAGAAATCAACAGTGTCAAATAAACAGATGGGTCCATAAGATAAAGACAATATTTAGAAAAAAGAAGTCATAGGCGGCCTCAGCAAACAGTTTTAGTAGAGGGGTAGGAATAGAGCCCAGATTACAGAAGATTTAGGAGGGAATAGGGGATGAGGAAGCAGAGATAGTGAACACAGGCACTTCTTTCAAGGAGCCAGACTGAGAAGGGAAGGAATGAGAATGAATGACAGCCAGAGGGAGCTTTGGAGCTGAAGGATTTCTTTGGAACTAGTGAACACCTGACCACTGTCCTAGATGAGGGGAAGGAAGCTGGGTATAAAAGGAGATGTTTGATGGGGCATAGTCTTTGAGGAGACAAGAGGAGATGGAACCAAAACCTTGGACTAGAAGAGGAAGGCTCCTTACTGAAAATAGAAGAGAAGTGAAGACGGGTGGGGGATGCAGATAACATGGAGGCAGAAAGGTGAGCGAGAAGTTTAAAAAGTTAATTCCTAAAAGCCTAGCTAGGTAAAGGAAGGGAGCAAATATTAACGGATCGGGGAAAAGAGGGATACTTGGTGGCTGGCCAGGAGTGGAAGGAGACCAGACTGGCTGGGCTCCCAGCTACAAATCCCCATCTTTCACCCACCCTTGATCTCGGCGCCAGGATCCAAGGCGCTCTCCGTGGTCCTGAACATTTCTGCCTTTGTCTTGTGGACTGAGCACAGATGATTCAGGGTAGAGACATGATTCAATTTTAGCTTTCCCACAGGAAAGCACTAATTCTCAGGAAGATTGAAATTGAAATGGATTTAGAATGAGGTATGAAGAGGCAAAGTGCTTGTACCAACTTTATCTAACCTTTCTTCACTGAACACACATGAATTTTCCTTTAGTTTTAGGAAGGAGTTGGTAGAGGCAGTTCTCAGTTATGAAATGCTGAAAGCCTACCTCTGGAATAGAGTCATGTCTGTACCCTGTTCAGTCCTCCTAGGTGAAAGAAGGAAGCAGGACAGACCTAGAGCAGAAACAGGGCCAGGATGATGGATAGTGCTGATAAGGAAACAAGAAAGCAGGGAAGAGCTGGAGCTCAGGCCACTCTCTGACACGTGGGCACAGCGAGATAGTGCATCAAAGACCAACTCTGTTTCTATCACAATTTGTTAAGAGGTCAGCTCAGAAACTACCTGGGGCTCTGGTCCCCCTGTTCAGGGTTATGCCACTTGCCCCACTCTCTTGGCAGTGGGTGGGAATAAGCACATTTAGATATCATATTTTATAGGAAGATTTAGAAATTACAACTCAATGCCTTTATGTTCAATGTCCATGGCTGGGCAGAAACCTAACTTCCTGTCCAAAAATATTCAGTAGTAGTCTAGGCATTGGTTAGATCTCTCTACTTTCCTGCAGATGGCTATTCATCGAGTCTCTAAGGCATTCCCATCTGTCCCTGACTTCACATCTCAACATGAGAGTCATTTGGCCAATGACAGCTCTTACTCTGTGTTATGACCTGAAGTCCTGAGTCCAATTGCTGAGTAGCTCCCACTTTTATCCCCCACCTTCCCTTCTCCAGGATTTCTCCAGAAGCTGCCTGCAGTGCCAGGCAGTTGCTAGGACTTCTATCCTTTGGGGACATATTAAGACCCTTAGAGGTCTCACTACGAGGGAAGGACAAAGACCTCTCACAATGGTAAGGCCTTTGGGAGAGATCTGGAACAGACCTGGAGAAATATAAGGGAGACAGTTGCTCCAAATGTTGGTAGTGGCTCTTAGAAAGAGGGACAGAAGAATAGAAAAGTTGGAGAAAAGTCTGTGAAGCCTGAATATGGGAAAGGGGGCAGAGGATCCTGCCTAGCACAAGGAGGCCTCTCTTATCAGTCTAAATCTCCTCAATCTTCTAGATTGTTCTCTAAAAGAACTCAATTCAAACAAAGTCAACACACTGGGTGTGCACTCTCTTTCCAGCTCTAGCCAGAGTGCCAGAAGCAGAATGTAGAGGAAAGCACTCTTTCTTATACAGACTTCTGCAGAGGGTTTTGGGACAAAGTAAAGTTCACTGAAAAGAAGTGGAGAGGATTCTTATGTTAGAGCTAGAGTTTCAGAACTCAAATTGGCTCTGTGAGTAGCTGAGGATTTTCCTCTCCTTAAAGAGCTCCTAGGATAGAATTTACTACCATAAACAAGCACTACCAAGCTTCAGTATCTTTGTGGAGACTGTCATTGGGAGAACCAAAATGGAGGAGGGTGCTGCGGATCCCAAACCTAGTAACAACTGTAGCCACAGCAAGTTTAATAGATTTTCCTATTATAAAGTAATACATGCTAAAAATTTTTAAAAATCACCTTGAGTTTCACCATTTTGAGACAACCTCTGCTAATGTTCCAGTGTATTTGAGTCTTTCGTGTGCACTATAGTAGCAACACTTTGGTTTCCCTTCTCTGAGAGCTGGTGCTGCCATTCTCATGGTAATAGGGATGGGCCTCCATGTACCATGTTGGTTCTATGTGATCCTACCCCTGCTTGGACCAGGTGGAGCCAATCAGTCTCCCCCAGAATTGGGAAGTGGGACCAAGAGGAGGTGTAAAGCTCAAGACTGTGGATTAGGTAGCAGAGAAAGCCATTGGGCAGAGAGACAAAACTAAAGTTGATGTTCAGAAACAAGCAAACATAAGAGAGAGAGAAAGTGCTCCATAGGCTTCAAGCTCTGGTTCTAGATCTTTCCCTACCCTTTCAGGGCTTGACTACATGCCTGACCTTAGACATTATGAGATACCCTAGCGTTCTTGCAGGCTAGTCTCCTTTTTAGCTTAACTAGCTTGAGTTGGATTTTGTTACTGTGACCAGAGAGTACCAACTAATACATGTGCATAGAACAACATTTAAAGAAAAACACACTGTATCTTATAGTCTGTATTTATAAAAATTAGTATTAGAACATAATCAACTACATACTTTTACATAGTTTTTGTAACCATCAGTTTAAGGGTTGCATAATATCCATAGAGGGAATGTACAATAGCTTTTTAACCATTCACTTATTTTAGACATTCAGGTTGTCTGCAATTTTTCACTATTATAAATAATGCTACACTGAAATCCATATATATTTGCATTAAGATCATTTCCTAAATCAAATAGAATTACTAAGTCAAAAAGCATGAGCGTTTTTAAGATTCTTGATAGATATTGCCAAACTGTTTTCCCAAAGGATTATTCCAATTTACAATGCCTCCAGTCATGACTGAGAGCTACAGCTGCTTTTTAATATTTTATTTTTCAATGTGCCAGGGAATTTCAGGTCATCACATACATCCATCATCTTCCAAGAGAGCTCTGCTCTAGTCCTTATTTGTCTTGTTCCCTCTGGGGAATCTTCTTTCAAAGAATAGAATTTCCTCTGGGCATCATGTGGCAGACAATATACTCCTGACTTGAGGCCACCAATTAAGAACAAAAGGAGGGAAGACTGTTACACTGAAGCTTGGGAAAGGGTCTAAAAGGAGCACTATTACTGCGTGGTAGCTGGGCACCATGCTTGAACGGGCCCTTGGCCTGGGCCACCATGTCAGCCGGGGAGCCGTGACGCAATTGCAGAGTCAGGAGGCAAGCTTCACAGTTCCTCTGGACCACGCTTCCTAAAGCTCTCTTAGCCCCGAACATCTGGTTCCTTCAGGTCTCCTTTGCTTTCAGACTTGGAGTGGGAGAATTTACCAAAATGGCTCTGGAGTTATCCCAGTGGGAGTGGCAGCTCCTACTCTCTTACCCCTTATTTAGTTTTCAAAAATAGCTACTCAGAAACAGGGAGAGGAAAGGACGGTAAAAGATAGGGAGCTAGTACTGGGATGGCAAAGAACTAGATTCATTTTTGAAGTGGGGAGACAAGGAACCAGTGAGTTTTTAAAAAGAAGATTTACAATCCTGCTCCCCCTTCTTCAGGGGTAGGACTACTTGTCCTAGATTGAAGTTCTGCTATTCATTCCCATTCCCACTCACCTGGAAACCTATAACCAAAAAGGCTTTGTTTGGGAGATAAGGCAGACACCTCAACGCAGGGACACCCACTGTAGCAGCTGTGGTTTGGGGGACGCCTGTGCACAAAGGCCTAGAGGACAAGCCTCATGACCCATGAGGTAGGAACCAGAGCCAGAAATTGAGAAACCTTGGTTCCTCCGGGAGGCCTGGCTTGGTCTAGCCTGTTCATCCCCACCCTTAAGCTCATCCCAAGTCAGATGTTGAGGAGGCTCCTGCCCTACCTTCAACCACAGAGACGCAGGTCTTGGCCTATACAGTCTTGTGGCCTGCAAGGTCTTTGAGCCCCACGTCCTGCTGCCCACCCCCGTCCCCAATTCAACCTCTTTAGGGAAAGACCATCTCACCCAATGGAGAAAGGGGTGAAGGTGTAAACTTCTTTAACAATAGATAAACAATGGCTAAAATGGTAAATTTTTAGGTTATATATATTTTACGACACAAAAAAATGGGGAAAAAAAAGATCAACTGGCAGGGCCTGAGGCAGAAAGAGGAGATAGTATGAGGGTGGGTGGTGGAGAGGAGACAGTTCCTTGTCTTCTTCTTTTATTCAGGTTCAGCCAAGACAGACTCTGGGGACAAGGCCTTTCACAGGAGAGTGGAAATGATTCCAAAACCAAGGGAGCTGGAGAGGCTGAGGGATTCTGGATTGAGTTCCTGGGGGCCTTCTACTCAGGGTGCCCCTTAGGCAGGGCCCAGAGGAGAAGGAAGGAACCAGATGTTCAGGGCTAACGGAGCTTTAGGAAGCGTGGTCCAAAGGATCTTTCAGTTTCCTTCCAGGACGTGGATTCCAGTTCCCCAAGGTAAGGAAGGAGGCACGGGACAGTGAGGAGAGATGCGGCCCAGGAATCGATAGAGGCAGTTGGTTGGAGTCTTTGAGACTGGTCCTTCAGCTCTGCACGTGGTAGGAAGCTGACACAGAAGAAATTCAAGGGACACTGACATTTGGTCTGGGCCAGACTGACTTGTGGATCCTCAGCAAGATCCTGATCCCAAATCGCATTTGAGGATTTTCAGTAATTTTCAGTTACTCAAGGGACTGAGACTGGCCTGCACTGCTCCTTGATTTCTCAAGATAGCAAAGTAATAGTCTGGCAGTCTGTGGGATGCCTCCACAGAGCTGCCATCTCTGGTCCCTTTCCTCTGGCCTTGGAAGAGTAAAGAGCCACTTGTCTGCAACGGACAATGGATTTAGAGGGCTGGGATCAAACAGCTTCTCCCCTCTGTGGTGTTTCCTGCCCCTGCCCTTCCTCTCCTGTTCAGCTTGTCCAAACTCTAATCTCCACTATGCCTGGCAAGCACCACTTTTTGGCTAGAGCAGTCTCCTATTCTTTCCTTTTTGTCATCCCAATAATTAAACATCAGTGAGCTTGGCACTTGTTTAAAAAACTTGATATTCACTAAACACCAACAAAGCACGGGCAGGGAACAATGTACTTGGGGAGGGAAAAACACCAAAACCCGGTTCTTGCCAAGAAGACTTTAGTCTAAAGGTGGGGAGACGACAGGCACACAAATTAGCCTATTTAAGGCAGAGAGAAGAGCATGAGAGATAGGAATACATGGAGGGTGGTGGGAACACAGAGGAGAGAGTGATGGTGGCAGAGGTTTGTTATCCTCCCTCCTGTAGAGGGTCAGGCCTGGGCAGGAGCAGGTTAAACCAGGGGCCTGGCTATTAGGTCACTGGGTACTTTGTCAAGAGGGTGCAGCAATGACAGTTGAGGCTCAGCCCAAGGGCCGGAACTCTATTCTTAGTACTTTTAGTTGCTTCTGCTGCAACCAGGCACTCAGCCCACCCCATTGCTGGGGGTCAAGTACAGCAGGGACTTTTCCTTACCTCTGAGATGCACAAACAACTCTCCCACAGAGAAGGGTCAAGAGGCTCTAGGTGGGTTGCTGGGAAGTGTTTTTATTGGGAAGGCAAACAGGGATTCAGAGTCCTAAGAGTGCTTAAGGCAGAGAGATGGTGGCTCTGGTGAAACAAACTCTTCCAGCCTCCAACCAGCCCCAGGGCCTGCAGTCCCTCTCCCCAGGCCTGCTCTGTGCAGCAGGGGCGTCAGAGAGGGCTAACTCCACAAATGCGTATGAACCCCCTCCTGAGTTTCCAAAGAGAAGTCAGTTCTTCAAGCGTGTGTGTGTGTTTGTGTGTGTGACACGTGTGCCAGTTGGTGGTGGAAGTGGAAGAGTCGGGTAGAGTCTAGCCTAGCACAAGCTCGAGGCGAGTCTTCAGCAGTGAAGTCAGCCAGTTTCTGGTTAAGCATCTCTCCAGGGAAACCATACTCATCTGCTAAGCTAGATGACCGTGAGGTCCTTGCTGGAGGGTCTTCCCCAGGCTCAGGGTGGTAGAGTGCCTTTCCCTGCCCACTGGTCTCTCCCTGGCTGGCGCACTGACACTGACTGTAACTCAAAGGTACAACTTCATTCCTGAGGCACCCACAAGAAATGGCCCTGAAACAACAAATAACCAAGATCCACCCAAAGAGCCCCCTACAGCTCTGTAGCCCACACCCCTGAGGAACACCTCCTTTGCTCTGACTATACCCCTGCCCCCAGTTCCTCCCACCTGTGCAGACTTCGCCTCTTCTAGATAGCTCTGACACACCTGCACAGCCTACATCCCTCCGCGCCTTCTGAGCTTATTTATGCCCCTCTAGGATAGTGCTTCTTAAACATTCACGTGCATACAAATCACCTGGGGATATTGTTTAAATGCAGATTCTGATTCAGTAGGTCTGGAGTGGAGCCTGAGTGTCTGCATTTCATACAAGCTCCCAGGTGATACCAATGTTCTTAGTACAGAGACCACACTTTGAATAGCAAGGCTCTAGGCCAGCCCCTCTACACCCACACCATCCCCAGACAGCCCCTCAGAGAGCCCTCTGCCTAGGCCTAACCTGGTTACATTCTTAGTACCAAGAAAGGACAATAGTTTGGTAGGGGAGGAGGCAGGAGACTACCCAGGGCTCATTTTGGGGAGGCAGCTCTGCCAAGAGCCCTGGCTGGGCCCAGGCAGAGAGCTGCGCAGAGCAACGGAGCCCAGGTGTGGCTCTTCTGGAATTCATCAAATCATTTAGTTAATACTGCTTGAATGTCTGCTATATGCACAGCTGTATGCTTGTTGCTTTAAATATATTATCTCACTTAATCCTCCTAAAAGACAAAGTAAGGGCCAATAGCATTCCCATTTTAAAATTGAAGAACCAGGTTGTATAAAGTAATATGTTCAAAGTCACACCTTGAAGGTGGTAGCACTAGGATTTGAATTTAATTTGCTTGTTTCTTATACCACAGCCCCTTTTCAGAGACATCAGATAAACTCATCAGATAAATAACACATCAGAATTACATGGCCGTGGGACTGCTGTCTCGTAAAGCAAAGCAGACACTTGGGAGACCGGTACTCATTGAATCAGGTCTCCAGTGCTCAGCACACACGTGGAGCCCCTCTTTAGAAGATGGCATGAATGCTTTCTGATCACCAACTTCCTGCTCAATGAGTCCTCCACAGGAAGGAAATAGTGGAGTCACTGAAGCAATTAATAACTCAGAATGGAGAAAGAGAGAGAGAGAGACTGGCAGGAAGCAGCCAGCAAGAAAAAGCACTGGCAACAGAGGATGCTGAGCCCAGGAGAGAAAAGCAGAGGGCAGTACAGGAAAAGGAGATGAAAGGGTCTCAGCCATTCAGTGCTGGTCCCACATTTTAGGGGCACTTATATTCTAGGCACTGTGCTGGGTGCCACGGATTCAAAGATAATATAGTCTCTACCCACGAAGAGCTCAAAGGCCTGTGAGTAAAGCAAATGAATAAACAGATAATTTCAATAATATGCCACGTGCCAGAAGAGAGGTTTGTATAGTGTTGTGGGTATACAGGATAGAAGCACCTATCCCACCTGGGGAATCCAGGAAGACTTCTCCAAACAAAGCTGAGGCATGAAGGATGAGCAGGAGGTAGATGTGAATCAGATGAAGAAAGGAGTAGGGAACAAAACAAAAAGAAAGTAATGGCGAGAAGACATATATGACTATGTAGCAGCAAGAGGAGCCGCTGAATTTTGCTGGAATGTTAAATAGGAAGGGGTGAAGTGGCAGGGGATGAGACTAGAATGGGAGGAAGGCTTAAAGTCATGAAGGGCTTTGTAAGCCATGTTCAGGGCTTTGGACTTTAACTGGAGATAATGGGGAGCCATTGAAGGATTTTAAGCCCATTGTCAGATTTATACAGACGATCACTCTTGGAGCAGTGTGGAAAGAATGGGAAGGAATGATTAAACTGGAGGCCAGGAGACCAGATAAGAGGCAGTGCAAGAGGTAATAAAAGCTTGAAATAGGCAGGGTCAGTGGGCCTGGAGAAAAGGGGATGGAGAAGAAAAACACGTTGAGGCCAAACTGCCAGGGCTCAGTGGCTGATTGCATCTGGGTTTGAGGGGAAGACTTGGCAGAGAGATGACTCCCAGGTTTCTTCCTGACGCAGGAACTGATGGGTGAATTGTGATACCACCAAACAAGACAGAGAAACAGAAATACAGGTAAGTTCTAATGATTTTGTTTTGTGCTGGTGTGTGCGTATATCTATAAACATGAAGGGCCCGAGGAAAGAACATGGGGAACACCAGTACTGAAGAGGTATGCAGAAGAAGACTGACAGCCGTGGTCAGAGAGGCAGAGGACCAAGGAGAGGCTGGTGTCATGGATGTCTAGGAAGGACAAGGTTTTGAGAAGGATAATGTAAGATAAGGAGGAACCAGAACCAGAGTCCTAGAGGGGTTCTTACATGACGGGAGAGACTGGAGGACAGTTGAGGCTGGGGGAGAGCCAGTGGAGGAGGGCCAGCTGTTTGAAGACATCAAGAAAGAGAACTCAAGACACGCTGTTTGTTCTCTGGTTTGCTGACGTTTCAGCAAAAACTTAATTTTGTTCTCAACAACTATGGGTCTGATCTTTGGGAAGTGTGAGACTCCTCAGAGAGAGAAACCCTCTAGTAGAGAAGTCCAGCCATGGTCCAGAGATCATGACGGGTCTGCTCTTTCTTGGGAAGTGTGGGCAGGGGTGGGCTGAAGGCAAGGGAGGCTGACCAGGGCCTGCCAACCTGGAAGGAACAGTAAGCAGAGGGATGGGAGTTGCCAAGTTCTGTCTACACCACAGTCCCCTGACTTAGCCTTGGGTCATCCTCCCCAGGCAATGCCAAAAAGCAGCAAAGACTCTGGGTTTCTAATCCCTGGGGCAGGAGGCCTGCAAAGACCTAACAGGAGCAGCCTGGGAATCCAGGATGGAGGGGAGCAGCCTAACTGAGGTTTTTCTAGAACTTGGAACACTGCTCTACCAACCGTGAACATCCAGCAGAGCTCAACCTCGGAACCTAAGCTCCGAGTGATCGTGATTATGTGGTGATCATGATTCCTCACTTTAAAAACCTTCAGTAATACTTTTCTGTTAAAACAAAGTAAAACTAAAGAACCACTCGACTTAATTATCAGTCCATCTCTCAGGTATGGTAACGGAGGATAGTAAACTGCCTGCCTCTCCTGTGAGAAAAGTTAAGAAACGTGCAGTTGGAGTTGGGGTAGATCCCAGTTCTTCTGTCTCCTGCATCCAAACACGGGAACCTGTGGGGGAGCTGGCAGGGCCCTGAGGTCCAGGAGGCCAGCCTTGCACTAGCACAGAGAACAGGCAACCTCAGTGAGGTGGGACTGACTTCTCCTGAAACATGACCTTGGGGGCCTACTGAATTTTGAAAAAATCATGTTTTGAAGATGAAGAGACTGTGTTTGGCTATTTACAAAAATAGGTCTGCAAATGCTGCCAGAGTTGAATGAATGTTTTATGCTACTTGATGCATTTGAAATAACCCAATAAGCTGAAATATTTTGCTATGAAAGGGATGCTTGCTCTATTGAGTTAAATCTTTGTTAAATTCCAGACATCCATGACACCAGCCTCTCCTCAGTTAGAAAGGAAACTCCGAAAGCTCCCATGTTTCCTGGCAGGGGAACAACACTTTCTCTACTCCACAACCTTGTGGCAGTCAGAAGGTTAGTAACAAGCCCTCACATCTGGTCTTCGAGAAAGCAGAATAACCATTTCCAGGAGTATTTTGGCTTTTACACGGACATCTAATTTCACAGGCAGTAGGAACCTGCCTTGTTCACATTATGGCTCCCACTCTGCCCCCTACTCCCTTCTATCTTTTACTCCAGTGAAAACCTCAATGTTGGACCCTCAGTGATTTTATCCTATTCCAATGTTTAGGAGAGTAATTTTCAACTCCTTCTTACATCTAGGTAGGACTAAAATGTGTTCTCTTTCTAAAGATAGGAGAGCTGACGGTCTATGGAAAGAACCCGAAAATCCTGGATCCAGTCTACAATCAAACCTGGGCTGCTCTGGATTCTGACAGAATTTTGCCACCCACCCCTCTCTGGCCCAGCTCCTGCCAGCTGCAAATTGTCTGGATCGAGCTGCTTCGACACGCTGATGTTATCGGCCTTGAAGTGCCTGGAGCATGTAGATAGGAACAGGCTATGGCGCCATCTCACCGGACGTACTAATGTAATTTAGTTTCTGAAATCCAAGTATAAAATCTTGAAAGCTAACGTTTTTTATCTACCTCAGGAGGGGGGTGATGGTGTGGAATTCCCAGCAGACCCATCTAAATAGGGAAATGGCTTCTGTTGTGTATTAATAAACAGTTCAAAGCAGTGGAAAAATGTAAGAGAGGATTTGTAGGGAAAGTAAGGGCGTAGTGTTTCTTGCTCCTTCCTCCTGCCTCCCCCAAGCTGTGCTGCCAGGTGAGGACCACTCCATTTGGTGAACCCCAGGCTGGGGCTAGAAGCGCCTCTCCTGAGCATTCCTGTTAGAGTCCCCTGTGCTAGGGAGAGGCCCCAGCCTCCCCTGGGGACATGCCACCACAGTTTGGGTGGGTCTCAACTAGCCCTTTTGTTTTGAAAGGAGTCATTCAGACCAGGTTAAGAGTGGTGGCAAAGAAGCAGTGGCCTTCCCTTCCATTTCCCCAGCCTCATCTCGTGTACTCCTCCCCCAGCTGACTACACTTTCATCGCCGGTCCTCTTTGCTCCTACTGGAGCACCAAGATCCTTCCCACCTCATGCTCCCCTCTGGCTAGATCTTACTGGTCCTTCAGGCCTCAGCTGACACATCACCATTTAAAAGAAGTTTCCCGTGAAAACCAGGCTAGGTTAGGTCCCTCCATAGTCCCCCCAGCCTCCTTACATTTCTTTCATGCACTTATCAAATTTTACTTAAATGATTACTTGTATAATTTGCTCGTTTAATAAATGTCGCAAAGACAGGGACCATGACTGTCTCCGCTGTGTCCTCCCAGTGCCTAGCACAGAATGCATGGCCATAATCTGATAACAGACAAACAGATTGCCTTCTACTTAGTTTGAAGCCACAGCAAGGACCTTTCTGTAATAGAGAGGTGGCAAAAGTCTCGTGCCCTGCCAGTCTGTGCCAGGGCCCTGTCTAATGGTGTCCCAGACAGATGTTACATTGTGTGCTCTTTGTAGGGCCACTTCATCTCTGTAAGCCTCTGGCCAGGGGGTGAAAGATTGCCTTCCAGGAAGTTATTTTGGAGGAGAGCCAAAGTAGAAGCCCCCAGAACCTTCACTCACTCACTCACCTGAAAGCTTGGCCTAGCTAAAACCCCATTTCGGGTCCACGGCCAAAGCGGCAGCTCAACTCCAGGTCACCTTCTCGTGGGGACTGACCACCAGCCGAGCAGACACAGCTTTCTCTGTAACTCAAGGGCCAGGCTCAGATTTTGCTTGCAGATACACACTCCCACCATCAAAGGAGTAAGGCCCGACTCCTACTGTCGAGTGGGCAGCCACCCTGGAATCCAAACCATCGGGAAACCCTTTGGAGGGAGACAGGGGCAGGGCTGCTCTGATCCTCTGTCTTTTCAAAGTGCTTTCTGACAACGTGGGGCCTGCAGCCACATCTACCAGGGAGTGAATCGCCCAAGGCAGGGGAACTCTTGGGAGTTCAGATATAAGGGCAAGGAGACAGCAAAAGAAAATGCAAGAAACCTCCCAGCACAGTAAACACAACCTTTGGCTAGAGAGTAGGGCCTGTGGATTCCCGTTTTGCCTGTGAACTGCACTAACTTCAAGAGTCTAGACAGGTCGTTTCACTCTCTGAGCTCCCAGGTCTGTTTTTATTCAGGCCCTGGGATTCTAGAAAGAGCCTCCAGGGCAGAGAGTAAATGAGTTGTCCCAGGTCAATGCCAGATGGCAGCCCTGGGATTAGAATTCATGGGCCCTTCTCTCCAGCCAGCTGTTCCCTCCCCTGAGTCCTGAACTGTTTCTTCTTCTGAATGCTCAGGATTGCATTCAATTTAGTAAGGTTTGTGGTCACATAATCACTGCTCCTAAATCAAACAGTGACTACAGAGCATCCGCTGTGAGGAAGGCAAACATGGGGCGCCTTTGCCCCTGAGAGAACAGGCCAAAAGCAAGCTCTGGCTGAGGTCAGGCCTGTTCTACTTGAACAAAAACCAACACAAACAACCCTCTTGGGATCTGCCAGTGTCCTCATCTGTTCTCGTTTTTTTCTCCAGGATTCCTCATGTGTCGAAAGCCTGTATTTAATCCATAGTAAGGGCCTCTCCTGGAAGCTGGAATACACTGTTTCTAGAGGCAAGAGAGGAGCCAGGCCAAGGGACAGTCTGGATCCAGATCCTCTGAGCATCTTTTCCTCCATACACTAGTTACTACATTGTTAATGCTTCCAACTCCAGGAGTGCTAGCCAGCTACGCCTCTTCACAAGTGTGTGTGTGGGGCGGCGGCCCTAGTCCTTCCAGCCCAAACTCTGCTGGGTCCACACATGGCTCAGTGAACACCAAATGTTCCTTTCTCCTCCCTGCCCTTCCCTGTCCCATTATGACTGGCTGGTGCTAAAAGAGGGAGCCCGCAGCTGTTCTCTGGTTTCACTACTGCTTTAGCATCTGGTTCTTTTACCAGGAAGTTCTTTGAGGTATAAGGCATGTAATGGCCTTTGGGCTCAGACACTGCCTTCAGTAAGGGACCAAGGAGCCTATAAGAGGTGAAGAAAGCAATGGAGGAGAGCCTTCCACACGGCGCGGAGCAGGGCTGGTAGGAGGGATGGGATACGGAGCGTTTTTACTCGGCCTCGATCCAGGCGGACTTACCGTCCCTCCTCACCCACTAGTCCAGACAATCAAAGCGAGAGCACAGTAATACCTGCTGCCTCCGACTCACTTAGCCATGGAAGAGGCCTGGAGGTAGAAGAGGAAATTCTGACTAGAAAATCCAATCTCTAGTAGACGATTATGATTCCTCTGCCCTTCCAGACTCCTCACACACACCCCTCCTCTAGATGATTTGGGAATTGAAAAGGAAACCCCTCTACAGTGCTAATTTAACCCTCCTCTGCCTCAGGACCATGGGCATGGCTAGGGTGGGGGTGGCATGCACTGAGCCTCTAGACTCACTAGTTTCATTTCTGCTTTGACTTGCTGCATCTGCCCTCCTCTACTTTATGTCAATACCCTTCCCTAAAAAATGATGTCTTTAAATCAAGTGTACTCTACTGCCAGGCTGAAGGTACAGTGATGGCTCATGAAAGGTTCCAGCTTCAGGTCTTGAAAGCTGCTCAGTGCTTTCCCTTGTTTCCCCTGCCTCACATCCCTCACTCTCAGATTGGAGAGGGGCGTGCAGTGGTATTAGAGGCAAAGGTCCATTTAACACTCCCTTGTTTCACTAGACTCTTACCCTCCCCCCACAGTCTTGCAGCACTGGGGTATCAGGGTGCCAGGCCCTGGCCAGGGACAGCTCCGGAGAAGCCATGGTTGTCTTGAAAGCTTGTTTCACCTTCAGAGTGATGGTAACCTCAACAGAGAGCTCAGTCAGGCAGATGTGTGTGGGGAGGTGGGGTAGGGGCTGGAAGGGATAAGGGGGAGTCTGTGGATCCATAGGGCTGATCTTGGAAAGAGAAGAGGCCAGGCCCTTTCACAGCCAGAGGCATGTGCCAGAAGGCTATTCACAATTAAAGAAGCCAGGACCTTAAGGACTCAGGCACCAAGACTTTTCAGACCTGGCAGGGACCAGGCTCCTCTAGGAACTATCCACGGTACTGAACTGCCTCCACCTGAAGACCTTCGTGGCTCTGGACAAGAGCCCGACCTGTCAGTTAATGCCAACTTTAAATGCTGCTGGTTCCTTCTGCCCATCCCTGATATTAACTGCCTGGTTGGACACATGGCATGCAAGGTCAGAGTAGCTCCAGCACGACTCCAGTCACTCTGGTTGGCTGCAACCTGGGCTTCATACCAGCAGCCTGACTCCCTGGCCAGATTTTCAACAAGGGGTGAGGTTGAGGATACTGGTGTGTGTGAAAAAATATCTCCTAGTCCCTGTGGAAGCTCAGGACTAAATGGGCCTGGCTCGGGGACAAGGTGGCCATAGGGGAGGAAGAGAATTCTCCATGTGGCACATCCTTAGACAGCTCAGCATCTCCTCCCCTCACCCCAGCAGCTGCTATACACACATGCTCACACACACACACACATGCGCATATGCCAGATTCTCCATCCTGTCACTGCAGAGCCTGTACTGCTGCAAAGGAGGTAGAGTCTCCTTTGTCTGCACTTGAGCAGAATGCACCTGCTTTGTTTCCATCATGCATATTACAAAAATTTGGCAAAGAGCACCAAAACTTAAAACAAATAAAATATAGTATTTATTTCTTTTTCTGAATTCAACAGGAATTTGTAGTCATTGTAAAAAGTCCAGAGAAGCACAAAAGAAGAAAAAAAATCATCGCCCTTAATCCTGCCATTCAGAGCTGTCTCCCATGTTAACTTCCTGGCACACAGCCTGGGTCCTGGTGTGTGTGTGTGTGTGTGTGTGCATGTGCCTCTGCCATTACCTTATCTGTGTGATCTTGATCAAATTTCTAAGCTCTCTGGATCTGTTTTTCATCATTAACATGAGGAAAATAATAGTACCCATCTCATAGGGTTGTTGGGAGGATTAAATGGGATAATGTATGTAAAGTGCTTGCCACAGTCCCTGACACATGGTAAGCAGTCAATAAAGGAAATCTCTTATTACACATACATACACCGTCATAGAAATCATTCTGTAATGCTATTTAATGCCTAATTTGAAAGCATGGATTGTCCTCCATCTCAAATAAAAGCTGAAGGGGGCCACACTTTCTGCCTCTCTGCCCAGGAGTGTCCACTCTCCTCAAGGGCTCCTTCTGCTAGGCACCCACACAAGTCTGTCTCCCTGGCTTGGACAAGCCTGCCTCCTCACTGTCTGAATCCTGGCCATTTGATTCCTACGTCTGCCACCCCCACCTCTCCATACCTGCTCTACTAATACTGTTCTCTTTGAGGTCAGCACTGAGCTCCTGGTTGAAATGGTCTTTTCTCAGGTGATCTCCCATCACCTTTTGGTATCACTGGACAGGGCTAACCAGCTCTTTTTAGAAATTCTATTTTCCCTGGGCTTTTATGAAAACATCCTATCCCTATCTATTTGACCACCTCCCTACTGTTCCTCCTCTCATACTCTAGACGTAGGTCCTCTCCTCAGTTTGGTCTCTGGCTCTCTT